CACACTGTACTATACCACTTTCGGTAATATTACGTTGCGTGTGACATCATTACAAGGAGCCACGCACGGTAATCGTGTAGAGTGCGGTACGTATGGCGATATATATGCATTATTTGTCTGTCTCATGTAGATAATGCTTTATCCCTTACGTCAAGTATTTACACACAGTAGTATTTATTGGGTTGCGGGTCTGTTTGTTGTCGGTTTTGGGATGGATCATGTGGTTCGTCGTCTGGGGGAGTAAGTGACGCTATCTGGGTTGAATTTGGGGTATGTTGCTTGGCTTTGGAGAGTACCTTCTGGGAATCGCATATGTGCTATTTTAACTGTTCAATAAATATTACACAAGCCGTTTTTATCATTCATAAAATATAACACACACCCAGAGTTGCACGTTGTATGACCTAATTGTACATCAACGCAGATTGGTGACCCAACTCTACCGTCACCAGACGCGTGGTCTCCGCCCTGACTCTAACTCTTACCAACTTTGACTCTGACTAGACTGTCTATCTCTCTTGTAAAATTGCGTTGTGAGATGTATCGTGTTATTACGCTCTAATAATTTTGTAATCACGGGGAAATGGAGTGCGCCCGCTGCGACAGAGTTAAATACAATTTTGGGCAGCAATCACCCCTGTGTGCTTATATAGCCAAAGGAAATACTTTTATATATTTTTAGATGTATCTCAGACAGGTGACATGGTACTTTTCCCAACATGCAGTGACCTCACTCCAGTTAAATCTATGGGAGTGTAACGTTCAACTCAGAAAATTATTAATACACATCAATCAAACAATTTGGAAAAATACAGAACTTGTAAAATGTACATTAAATAAATAAAAGGAGAATCTGGGTGATCAATTAATTACATAAATGAAATTAAATAAACGTATGGAGGGAAACTACAATAGCACAACATTTAAAAAAAAAAAAAAAAAAAAAATATTACGTGTATAAAATAAACGTTCAATTCAATACATATAAAACGTGTGACAAATAAACACTCTATTTAGGTATATGAAGAACACGGTGGAATATATAGATTTCCAAACTTATTTATTGATTTATTGATGTTAGACTTTCTTCGGAATTCGTGTCAACAGGACATTTGAATATTTTTATTTTTAAAAAAGAATTTCAATAATCCGCTATTTTCGTATTATAATTATTTTGCTGGTGGGCAGCGTGAGAGAAAAACAACATAACGTTCCTTGGTGCTCTCGTGTGGCAGATATGTACGGTGTGTTACTCAGAAAGCTGGAGTTATCAGCCACGCTATTCACAAAACAATCAATTATCAATGTCACAGGATTACCAGGTAATTTTGAGTCAAATAATTTCAATTAGAACATATTATGTGCATGCCCAATCCATAGGTCAAAAGAGCATAGTGCGAGATTTGTACAATCGACCGAGTGTTTGTACAAATTCAGGCTAAGCCTAGATATATTTCCGGCAATTTAAATGGTCAATAATAACAAGACACGTTAATTTTATCATTTACGTTACTGTTATAGTCTTTGCATTATACATCTAAAACATATATTTTTATATACATATAAAATTGAAAAAAAAAGCTTGGATTTGTTTTCATTTAATATATACAACAATTATTTCTCTGAAAAGCTTCGCAAATGTTTTGTAAATGGCGTGAATTATGTGTATGTATATGTGTATTTTAAAACTGTGTACGAAATTACTATGGCACGTAACTAAAAAAAAGACGAATATTTTTTTTATAAAATATGTTCAAAATGTGTAAAATGATGCACCTGTATTACAGAAAAAAATGTAATAAATGTATAATTGCACTAACACATTCTTGGCACCCAGTTAACATTTCAACATGCAAATCATCGAATGAAAATTAGTTATATAAATGATTATAAATAATTAATTAAAATGAACATTAGATTAGATAATAATAACAGGTTGTTGGAAAGCCAATAATGCGTTACTTGAGTGTAGTGAATGTGCTTGCTTTAGAATCAAAGTCATGGTTTTAACTATTTCATTGATGATGTCACTGATTGATTCAATATACTGGAATTACCCGGAAATCAGGCTGTATGCATGTGTTTTATGTGCACGTGCCTTGTTACTGCATAACTGAAGGAAGAGTTGTATGCAGTTATAATTTAATTTGAGAACCCAGGTGACATGATTGGTATTTTTTTAATGAACAAGGCTAGCATGTGAGGACAATAGGGATTTATTATTCACGGGATTATTAAAGAGCGGTGATCGTCGCGCTGCGCATGTACGACATTTGTGTTGGTAAACATTGATTTTCCCACAATCCAATGTGCTCTTCTGACGGCAATCGCGGGTACGAGTTTTTACTTACACTTTAACGTCTACATTTTTACTGCTGCCACTTCTGCATGGTTTCATAGTTGGCAATTGACCAAATTTGGAGCACAGTTGATTTTGAGACTTCCTGTTCCCGGATACTTTCTAGTGCTTCACGGGGAATTTCGATTGATTGCAAGCATGACCTATCGGTACAAAGGACACAGTTCCAGGTAAAATTTGCTTGGGAAAAAAACATGGCGGATATTTTTTAGCATCCAGATCATTTATTTACCTCTAAGTTGAATTTGACTTCGATTTAGTAAGAAACCAATGAATTCATTTTATGTAATTTATTATGACTGAGTAATAAACAATGTAATATCTGCATTCATAAACTTTTTTTCGCTGATCAAGCGTAGGTGCAGTCTATTGCAATACCATTACTGTTGACATCAAATATTAGTTTATTTTACAATAATTACGTGATTATTTTACGTAAAATGTGATATTCAAGTCTACCACAATCACCAGCCCTCATAGCAATGGTAGCATTACAGGTGTCTAGTTCAATTATTAATTATTTGTATATATTATCAATATTTACTACATATACTCATACAATGTTTTTTTTTATGATTTTGTTTTCAGATCCTATGAATTCCAGTTCATTATGTTGTGGCAATCTGGTTTACGTTCAACGTGTACAAATAATAATCCATATTTCATTCATAGTAATAGCTTCTGCTATTACGATTGCTCTGAAATACTTCACCACATTACGTTTCCATGACTACAAGTTCTGATACGTTATCCTGGACACACGTTCAAATGGACAATATCGGGAGTACTCTCAGTCGTACTATTCTTTAGTATAGCTGAAGGAATCCTTACTGATTCATCAAGACATGGCACCACCAATCCATACTTGTATGTTCCACAAATGTTGTCACTGACCAGTGTAATAATTAGTTTGGTGTATTACCATCATATGGAGTACTGGGATCGACCTCACCTTATTTGGTTGCTGTTACTTTACTGGATCATGACTATTATTGGAGAAGTATTATCAATATTTAGAGTGACACAGTCGATTGGTTTTGATGGCAGTATCATGAGATTAGATACTGGTATTGTTGTTATTATTTTATATTCTTGCTGTGCGGTAATTGAAATTAACGTACTTCGTGAAAAGGTAAGCATTCGGGTATAATTATTGCCATAAAATAATGATGTCCCTGTATTTGCAAAAGCGACTGTAAATGCCACACCATGGACCGTGTACGCTTAGACCAGAACCTGGTTTTATTGGGGACAGGGCGAAATATTCACTTGTAATTTGGATTTTTTGTCTTTTCCAATTGGTATAAGAGCTAATGGTATATCATGGAATATGTTAAGTGAGGTAAAAAACAATTAATCGCACATAAAAAAAATACTACATGCATCGTCTGTAGACTCTTAAAGGTGCAGTTTGCTCGTACAGCACCCAGCTTTAGTTGGAACGTGATGTTGGATCTACATTGGATAGTGTTTGAAACTTTGAATCAACGTTGATTTGTTAAAGCCACATCAATGCATTAATGCCAATTTTAATTTCCCAGCACAGAATCAATATAAAACTAGAACACTGAATCAAAGTTTTTTTAGTTTTTTTTTTTAAGATATATTTTTGTGTTGTTATTCCAGGCAGCAGTTCTGGACATTGAACGTCATTGTTGTCTTTCTTGATTTTTTATGTACAAATTTCAAGTGCAAGTGCTGACATATACTGTATTTTAACCACAAAAACCATATTCATCTCTGGGACTACATGAAAAAAGCAATTTGGCCATCTTTCTGTCAAATGGAAATTTGATACGCGACCCCGGCACAAGCATTAGCGGACCAAATTGGTATCCGTTAGAAAAAGTATCCCGCCCAGGGAATTGGCCTTCCCATTGAGTCTGCAGCACACTCACCAATCACAATCCCCAGTATGATTTGAACGATCATAAGTCTGATGCAACAACCAATACGCTATCAGTGAATCAAAATAAACCTTCTGTGTGTGACGTCAGATCAACTTTATTCTATTTAGGTCAATGTTGATTTAATTCTAGTAATGCCATCAATCCTTAACAAACCCATGTATTAGTCGTGTCTGTTATACCTCAAACAGTACTTTATTAATCATTGTGAAATATACATTAGAGACATAATATCATATAAACAAGCAAGACGGGATTTTGTCATTGTCATGAAACTGTAAGGTCGTCTCTGATTGGCTTCTTCGTTAGATAACTATTTCGATTTCAGAACGCCGCAAAAATGTTCTTCGAGTAATTAGCTAGGTGTTCGTATGTAAGTGATCTTTCCAAACACCAACGACGATTTCGGCCAAATTGTGTTTGGTTGGTGGGCTTACTGTTTCAAGCCGTATTCAAGATGGCGGCCCCCATATAATAAATATCGGTAATTGTATTTATTTTATTATCACGTGTACGCCAGCTGACTGTTATGTGATACCACAGACCATCTCATAGATAGAAGCCGAGTGTTCATATTCGGTATAACCTATGCATTTATGATTTCTCCTGGACCAGTTCACAACCACCAGCAGAGCAAACACTTTAATGGAACGGTAGATTGATTTTTTACCAATATTGCTTGCATATTAATGACGTGATTATTAAGAATTTATTTTCTACAAACAGCCTGTAATTACATAATGCAAGGTCGGAGTTCTACTTACAGAGGGCGCAAGATATTTACATACACCTAACTCCCGCACCAGGTAGGTAATTACCGAGGGACTTTGCAACATCCCGAGACACTTTCCTAGACACTCTAGTGGAGGTTGTAGGCGCAATAAAGTCGACTGAATGTTACACAACAAATTGTTGAGTTTATCATTTTTTGTCTAAGATCTGAAGGATATTTGAAACTGGTATATAGTGACGATGTGAAGGTGAAACTATTAAGTAGAAGATTCAAGGGAAAGATTGACTGGGCGATGAGTGTTCTGGCAAACTGTCAATGGGACCAGCCATTATGCGAGAAATTGAACGGGACAATCAACGTGACAACGCTAATATTATTAATATAAATCCATTGACAACATCTCAACAAACTACAAATCTAAAGAATTTAGAATTATCATTTCTTATTAATATTTATTCCCAGTTTTATGTTCGTATTATATTTCTCCCAAGTGTTACACAGCAATGATTATTGTATCTACAAAACAATAGAATATTCCAACCACCCCTCCCTCGTGGCCAAACATTAAAAACATTACGCGTCCGGTGTTTTGATTAACTGTCACGTAGGTGTGTATGTAACTTTATTGCGTCTACAACGGTCATTGGAGTGTCTAGGAAAGTGTCTGGGAACGTTGCAAAGTCTCACGGTAATTGCCTTCCGGTTGCGGGAGTCAGATGTATATAAATATCTTGCGCCCTCTGTAAACATAACAGTTAAAAACTCTTCGATGTTTCTTGATATTAGTTTATACTAGGTTACTTGCGAAAATTCGGCATATTCGTTAATTGGAGTATTGTTCTTTTGCATAACGCTCCAAAATGTATTCATGATGCTAGGAACGAGCTTTAAAAACGTGACTAATACAAGAAAAAATAATTCGTGATAATAAATGTGAATAAATCGTACCCTTGCCGTACATAAACAATGTAGGATGTAGTTTTGATTTCCAGTTACATGAAGTCCGATATTTATTTATTTATTTATTTCATCGTACTCTGAATCCACAAATTAACACTTTTTGGTAATCTTGCGTGTAATATCCTGTAATTGAACTGAACACTATCGAATTATTGATTTTATGATTTCACTTTGAAAATATGCCCAAATGTGCACCCAAATGTCACTGCGTTTCAAATTAAAGTTTTTGTAAACATGCCATAAATCAATTCCAATGCTTTGAATTGACAACTAGTCAATTTAGTTTTGGTATACCATTTTGTATGTCACTGTTATTTAGGAGCTATTAATTAGTGTCGCCATATGTAAACATATTTGGTGTTGGTATTTTCAAAGCCCACAGCATGCAATGCAATGCACGGTGTATCATTGAGTCAGAAAATAAACATTGTTCATGTTGTGATTTTGACTTGACAGTCCGCAGAATCAGACCATGTAACTAATATATGTTTCGGTGCTTTATCTTAATGGCCGCATAGTAAAGACTACTGTTATTTTCATTTAATATCAATTCAAAGTTGATTTACGTGCAGATCGCAATTTGAGTATGCACAGTGTCATCCAAAAATAATTGTGAATAGTTTATATTTGTTCTTTGTAAGGTTGGTCGTTATAATGCTCTGGAAGGTTCATGACTGGAACATCTGTATAACAGTTAATATATTTATTATCATCTTTGTGCAGAACAACACAATTCATGAAACAATTGCAAGTTGATGTATGGAATGTAGCTTTGATCTCTGATACAAATAGGCAATATTTGTTTATACTAATCCCAGATTTTTTAAATATTTCATTATGGCGTATTATTGTCCGAAATGGGTCACGTGAGACAAACATGTGACCAAACGATTTCAAAATGCATACCCGTCAAAACAAAATATAATTATCTGGTAAATCAACTATCAATGATGTATTTGTCTCTCTGAATCATCAACTACTCTCTACTATGCCAAATCACTGTTACATTTTGGTTATACAGATATTTAGTCTAGAAGACAAGGGAATCCCAAAGGACATCGTGAAAACCAATTTATTTTTCATGCAGTCATATGCAAACTGTCTTTCAAACACAACTCAATGGTGGGTAAACTGGTTAGTGTCATTGTCGCACAGACGAACAATCGAAGTAGACGACCTGGGATGCTTGCCTGGGGAGTTTGAGGGAAAACATACAATACAAAAGTTTAACAAAGCATACCTTTGTGAACAGGTATGGATATTTATATAACTTTGGTTGCTATTTATATGTTTGCACTGTATGTGTGTTAATACATCAGTTCAAATAAATAATAATACAACTAGACTGGCATACACATGACAACTTCGACAAAATATAATGCGGTTAAAAACGCGACAGGAAGATATAAAGTACTCGTAAAACACGTATGATATGCTCATTTCATTCTGTTGCACGTGTGGCACTCGCCAATTTTTAGCTGTGACAATGGTATTTGGGCAATTGTTCGTCAAGCACGTGCTGTGGGACTATTCCATGTTCACATATTTTGCAAATAAGGCAACTAGGTCTTTATTTGGTGAATATAGAGAGGGGTTCATATCGCGTCATTAACTTCTCATGTGTGATATATGCTCTCGGAAATTCATAAGCCAAAATTTGTGGAAGATTGGAACATCTGAATATCTCAGTGCAGAACACCATAAAATAATTGTTGTTTTTAATGGAATGTATTTTGATATCCGACACAAATAATTATTATTTGTTTATACAAATCCTAGATATGCTAATATTTCATAATGGCGTATCATTGTCCGAAATGGCTCACATGACACAAACATAAATATGAAAAAACAAATGATGGTATTTCTAATCCTTATCCCGCGCTTATTCATGTATAATGTATTTCGATCTCATGATCATTACAAAATCATTTTACAATAATGACTCATTTTAATCCCCTGTTCAGCTTTCTTAAAAATAATATAATTGTTGTTTACAGAGGAGATGTGGTAAGCTTGTCCCTTCTCTTTGGAATGTATGTTGGCGTGCTCACTATGTCCAAATAATAGTAATTACTCTGGCACGAATAATGCATATTGCACTAACGCTCGTCGGTCCAGCCAGTATTAAGGGTATAGTTACATATGCTACACAGTACTACAATAATGATATCAAGTCATATGTAAGTACATTCTAATATTCATTGCATCTAACCCATTAACTAGTTACACCAGGCGACATTGTGAACGTTCGTATCTCGACAATAATGTATACACAGATTTAAATGTTTATCACGGAAACTTAAAAAGCATATTTCCCAGTTTTAACAAATTAAATCATGAATATTAATTAGATTTTTGTGAATACTGTGTATCGTATGTGTAACTGCTACGGATAGTATGGCACGAACGTGACCACGAAAAAAGACCAAGATTAGTTAACATGAAGTAGGGTTGCTGTTTACACGATCCGTAACATTTGAGAACAAATTTTGGATACTATTATCTTAGTATTAGTGTGTTTGGCGTTTCGTGGTCGTTCTGCCAGTAGTCATAAGCTACTACGGTCTATATGGCTTTTTGACATTATATTTGAAATGAAGTGTCCATAATTACGTGATAATAGGGCTCGGAAAAGGATGAACACCCAAATAATGTTATCATACAATGATTGACCGGTGCGTTTTCCTTTACTACCTACATAACCATATACCATATAATGTCAAAAAAATACCACAAAACATTGCATAAGTAAATCGCAGACCGTCTGTGAACCAGTGTATTATTAAGGCAATT